TTAAGCATGGATACAATGTTTTTGTGAATTATTGTTGTTTAAATTTACTTAGTTTTTGGTTTAAATGTATTTATTTTTGCTGTAATGTTGTAAACACACCTCCCCCTGTCCTTGTGTCTATCATCAGATCTGATACTCCCAATAAAAATGTATTAAGAATGCTGTGTGAGACTTTTTGTACTGAATTTGCTTAATGATACTATAGGTTATTGGGGTGAAACATAATATGGTATTAGAATATATAGTGGGGATTATTTTGTAATGAATAAAGCTGTAAATACATAAATTACGTCTGAAGTAAGTCTATGTGTGACGTTAAAACGACGTCGACACCGACCATTTCCGGACTGTTCTTTCACCTTATACAGACGTCTTATAGTTGTCAGAACTGAACATCCAGAGGACGTCTAAAAAAGACGTCATAAAAACTTTCATTCTGCACCCTCTGAAGACGTCTTTTCTACGGTAGGCCAAGACGTCTAAAAGACGTCATTTCAACGTCATATTGTTTGCTGGGATATATTTATTTAAACCGTTATTTACATATGCTCAGATCAGAATCGTTTTCATGAAACCTGGGGAGGAACGGCAAAACGCTTAGCTAATTAAAAGATCTGTACAAAATATCTATGTCGATTTAAATTTTTAGTCAATGGAGATATTACGTTCGTTGGTCTTGACCTGCTCCAGATATTTCAAAGGCGAACATTTTTATTAGATTATTATATATGTAACGCATGGACGGTTATAGTCCTCGATCAAATTCCGTTAAATTCAAATAATTTATATCACCTCGCTAAATATGATTTCCCCTGGTAATTAAGTGCATAACATAGGGCGTAGAAGCAACATTAGATTCAGAAAATTAAAACGAATAGACAGAGACGCAGCAGCTACAAATAAGACAGCTCTAAAAACCTATGGCGGGGCTGGGGATTATTGGGGAGCAGATAGGGTGCGGGGTGTTGATGGACAGGGATGCACAGGTGAGGTGTGCTATCATCGCATTCTCACTCATGTGTGCCAGCGGCCACAAATGAGAGAAGGGGCCTCAGATTCGGCGGGATCACAGCAGGCCTTGGCTGAACCTGACCAATCAGATGCCACGTTCCTCCTGTCACATGGGAGACAGTGCTGTCATCGCCTCGTACACCCGTCATCATATCTCACTGCCTGACGCTCAGGCCTGCAGCGCTAAGCTGCCCCCTTATACTGCCCCCAAGCCAAAATAATACTGACCTATCAGTGTCCTCCAGCAAGCCTGACAGTTCTGGTGTTAGTGACAGTGCAGATGTGCCCTACTTTTTGTGTTCCTATGACAGACTCTAAGACCATAGAATATATGATCATAGACCATAGAATGTACAATCCTGCCAAAGACTGCATATTTCTACAGAGACTACAATGTTCTAGCAGTGTTCTGCATTCCTGATTTCTGTTTGGAGTTTTGTTTGTCTCCATGTGCATCTCAGTTTCAATCACAACCATCTCTGACTGACACAGAGCTATGCAGAGTGCTTTCGCTACCTGGACATGAGTCGCGGTCAGGAGGGGGTGGATCCAGCTCTTTGAGTCTGAGACAGCAAGCAGGCGACCCACACAGCGACAGGGAGCTCTCCTGACATGGCTCATGTCTGGACCAGTGCTGGGGTGGATTGATTAAAAGCTTTTATTTTCAACTAATGCCTTTTGACTTATCACACATTGCCTCTTATTTTTGTGAAAAGCTATACAAACCAAACATTAAAAGAGTAAAATTACACGAGTAAAATTAAATGGAGTAAAATGGTGTTCTTGGTCAATTTTGAACATTAATAAATACATTTTAATTTGCGTTCAATATGCAGAAACTATATAAATTCACGTTTCACCAAATGCCCTAAGTGAGGAACTCCTACTAGGTCCTTGAGAGGATAATCAGCTGGGATTCTGCCCCTTTCGTTTGTGCTGTCAGCCCACTGCTGGGGGGTCATCCTGAGCCTTGGCCTCCCCTCTCACCTGGTCCCCGGGTCAGAATATCCCAGTTCTCAGTGCTTACATTCAGTACGCCAGTGGTAGCTGATAATATGCAAAAAAAATGCCAAACAATCTTATTGCTGTACTGCTCTGGAAAAAATTGAGAGACCACAGCAAATTTTCGGCTTCACTCATTTCTCCATTTATGGTTATGCGTCTGTGTAAAATATTAATTTCTTTGCAATGCAGCCTCGCTCTTCCCTGCTTCTCATTGATGAAGGGCTTTTCCTTTATGGGACTCCAGTCCTGCTTCTAGGAGCCTGTTATGAACTATCCTAGTAGTACCTCTTAATGTTTCCCATTCTTTTTGAAGGTCACTTGAGTTCACCCTCCGATTTGTGAGGCACTGCCAGATAAATTGACTGTCATCTCTGGCATTAGAAAGTTGCTTCTGCCCTCTACCTTGCTGGTTTTTGGTTATTCCCAGTGTCACCTGCTTCACTTTGTTCTTGTGTATTGCTGGCTTAGAAACTTTGAGCCTGGAAGCAGCCTGCCTCACAGGGTAGCCTTCTGCCAACAGAACCTGGATTTAACCAGGATTTAAAAATGCAGATTTTTTAAAAATATAGAGTGGTCTCAACTTTTTCC